GTTTAAATAACTTAGTGGCCAACCTCACCTCAGTCCCATGGGCCTGCCTGTCCTGGTGGAGCCCCTCCCAGCCCCCCACCCATCCCACCTCCTGTCCCCAGTCTCCCCTGTGTCCCCAACCTTGCTCATTCTGCTTCACACTCTGTTCCTGAGCACAGATTGGTAAAATCCGTTTGATCGGCCCTGTGTGCTCTGTGTGGTAGAAAAATGGATGATGTCTCTCGAGAACTAGATCCTGAGCTCATAGAATGCACCCTCATGGCATTTTAGGAAGAATCTGTCTCTTAAATCTATTTCTTAACTTCAATTAGAAATTAAGTGGCTCCCTTCGTATTGAAGCCCAGGGAGTTGAAGAGTTTCATGCTTAGCTGTTGTAATTAGGTTTTTATGTAGAAGAGCTTTTTTTTTAAAAAAAAAAAAGTCTAAATACTATGTTCTATAATCAATTTAGTGAATGCTCACTTATTAAATGCTTATTATGTGCCTAGCAGTGTGTGCGCTGAATTGTAGAAATAGGACTCTTCTTTTTCTTTTCCTTCTTTTCTTTCCCTCTTTCTTTCTCATTTCCTGAATGTTAAAGAAGCAAGTTTTTTGAATACAATATATTTTTTTCTTTCCCATTACTCTTACCCGGTATCTAGCACATTATCTTCTATTAATGTTCAGTAAATATTTAGCAAGTTGATTTTTTGAACTACTTTTTCATTCTCTTACAAACACATTCAATAAATTCAAAATTAAGGGGATATATATATGTCTTCGATGTGATAGATAATAATTTTTGATCTCATTAAAACACATGGTTTGACATTAACATAGCACAGGTCTGGAAGACCTAGATATGGAGTAAGCCTCAAATGTTGCTTAAYACACATGAAGTCTATGGATAACTAGTACTGTGTTTTGCAAAATAATTATTAGAACTGGAACATGTTTTTTAACACAAATAAATTACTGTATTTCTAAACACCTTAAAATAAATTTTAAGCCCTATAAAAATGACTTAATTGAAGTCAGTGTATGCTTTATATTTCTAGTTTAAAAAGAAATTTGTTAGTCATGAGGTACAAATTTTGTATATTTTGGATATTAAGCCTTCTCTTTTGGATTTCTTTGACAGATTTACCATTATTAATCAATATTTTACACCCTTAAAGTTTTCATGTTAGAGTATGTCTAAATTACTAAGTTTGACTTTTCTTTGTCGTATTTTACATTTTTTGTATGATGTCCACAATAATCAAAATATGACAATATTAGGGCAATTTCTTTGCTCTTGGTCTTTGCATGTAAAAGAGTACCCTCTCTTTGATCTGCTTTGTTCTTCTTAATCCTGCTTCATTTCCCATCATATGACCTAATACCGCTTAAATTCGTGTCATACATTTGTAAGTTGCCTGGTCTGTTTCTCTGGAAGGGAAGCATTTCCGAGCTTCGTTCACTGGCACATAAGAAGCCATTTTGAGCTTTAAGGAAAGGGAAACTTCCTAACAGGAAGTAAATTTAGTTTCTATAGGGACATTTAACCTACATTTTTAAATAATAAGATTTCTATTAATTATATGGCATATTTAAAATCAAATAGCAGCGCTAAGTTACAAAGCCAGTTCACCAGATCTATAATATTTATGGATATTATTCTTGGTTTAGTAAGGTGGTTCAGCTTCAAAGGAGCCTCATTAGGTTTTCAAGGCTTGATGAGCCTACTTACAAATTCACATTAAGATTTAACAAGTCATTTTAGGAAACTCATTACACGGCTATTGCAATGTCTAATTAAGATGGTTTAAAATAAGATTATATAGAATTATGAAAATTTTTGTTTACATTTATTTTTGTAAAYATGTGATTATTTTTTATAACTCTTCATGTGCAGTGAGTATATATGTTTTCCCACTAACTGGCTAGACAAGCAACAGCAACAATGCAAACAAGTTGTATCTAACAAACACAGGACGTCTTGAAGCATTCCCCAACACATTCCCCTCTCTTTTATAAACACCCTTTCTCCTCTTGTTCAGGTGTTTTAATTTCTTTTTTTTTAAGCTCTCTCAATTCTGAATTTGAAAGTCAATGAAAGATTAAGTGGGAAAATGACCATCAACACAAAATACAACATTTTGCATGGAATTTAAGAGATTTACAGAGCTCTTGAGTCCCATCCAGAGACTGGCTAGGGGTCATGAATGTCATATTAGTGTCTCCTGTTCTTTTCTGTTGTTTCTCCATAGTACTCTTGCAACTGCCTTCACTTCAACCAGCACTGAACCCTTAGAGGTGTCAGTTACACGTTCCAAAATTGTTGAACCTTTTTGTACAATGCCATACTTGGGGGAGAGGGGCTAAGGGAAAAAGTTTAATTGACATACATTATTTTAAAAAAAATCCTCTAGGAAAATATTTCAGGAAAGTTTCTACCCATAAGACTCTCAAGGTTTAGTATAACATCTATTTAATTCTCTTTAAGAGTGACAATTCAGCCCGTCATGTTTCTATCATTCTGCAYGAAAGGGAAAGTTGGCTACTTGCCAAAGATGGAGTATTGTAATAACAACAATTCAGAGAAAAATATGAATAATAGATGGTTGGAAAAAAATGTGTAAGGGATATGGGCCACAACTAAAGATAGACAATAAGTGAATAAGCTGGTGAATAAGCTTTACCTTGCAGATGTCAAGTGACAGTCCTTACCTCCATCACTCCTGTAACAGATGCCTATTGACAACAACCATATGCAAGACCCAGTGGGAGAAAGAAAAATGGATGCAGTCAGGCTTGAAAATCAAATTTTCTTTGAGGAGTCTAGAATATCATTCAGCCTGCTAATGTTTAAGGCTGCTAAATTATTGCACATGTTCATTACTATTTAAGGGGAAAGACTAATATTATAGGTACAGACTCTAYAGCCATTAAAAATTTATCTACAACACTTTGTTATTCATCCAAATCAAACTGAATTCTGTGTGAGCTAGTAGCAAAAACACAGGAAATCCTGTCTTGAATTAGAAAAAGGGAGAAATATAGTTTCTAACAGAATTTACCACTGCTCTCTACATGGAATTCAGATGTGCACATAATATTTTCTGCTCTAATGGAACATCAAGGTAGAACTTCACCACTTTCTTATGTTCATAGGTATGTCTGAACCCATAACTTAAACACAAAGAAAAATAAAAGTGAAAGCAACTTTCCAAGACAAATATTTGAAAGCTCTTCATAGACTGCATGCCTGTAATCTCAATGACTCAGGAGGCTGAGACAGGAGGGTTGCAAGTTCAAAGCCACCCTCAGTAACTTAATAAGGCCCTGAGCCACTTCAGGAGAACCTGTCTCAAAATTTTAAAAACTAAATAAATAAAAGAAGAATGGAGATGAGCCTCAGTGGTTAAGCACCTCTGGTTTCAATCCCTAATACTACTACTACTAATAATAATGATAATAATGAGTTTTCTGAGGAAGGGATTCAATTAGGATTGCAGAAAGGGATTCAATTAGGATTCCCCTTTATTCAGCATTCCAAAGAGAATAAGAGCCTACTCACTGAGGCTAGGAAGAACATAGAAGCAGTAAGATAGCCCTGATTATTATTATGATTAAATAAAARCAAAATGAAAGCTGACATTTCTCTATTTTACATTTAAGAACTAAATATCTACCAATGAATAAAGATAAAGGTCTAGTGGGTGTTATAAGTCTTATATTAAAAATAAAATTACCCKCATTGATAGGTGAAATTGATCTGGCATTTCACAGAAGAAGATAAATGGATTTTTWAAAATGTTTTTCTCCTCCTTATATAGGACACTTCAACTATTTATATAATTTAAAAGTTATTTCTCATCCAAATAGAATCAATTTTCTATATGCCTGAAGCACATTAATGAGTATTTTGAACTTCTTTCCCTCCAGCCAAGTGATAAGTCAAAGCAAGGAACCTCTGAAAGCTATTACATTGTAGAAAATAGTTTTCTCTTTGAGAAAAAAGTATTTATGGGTTGCTGCTAAATTTAACAGAGGCAATACCAAGTTAGTGTGGCTGATCTGTGCATAGGAGCAAGGTTTTTGTGGTGGTCAGCTAATGACACAGAAAGTTCCTATTACAAGCTCCTGGTACATTTTAATTATGAATATTCAAATCTGTTTTCTCAATTTGGTGTCAGCCAGGCTTCCCATAATGCTTTCCACCTCAACTTCCTTGAAGTTTTCATTTTGCTTTGAGTTGCACTCTCAAAATGGCATTACAAAAACAAGATAATGTTGAATATGCTCTACCTAATAAATATGATCTGGACATTCCAACATTACTTCACTTGTACCAGAATAAGGATGCTTAAGGCAAATTTGCCACCATTTGGGCATCAGGGCTCTAAGTAAGAGTTATATGAACTTGCAAGTTTATAATAGTTTAAAAATTAAATAAATTATGGATAATTATATTCAACATAGTTTTCAACTATAAACCTAAATAGTTCTAAAGCAAGATTTCTATTTTCTTATATTTCACATTTACTCTACTTCTTACAGTATATTATGCATTTAAGTTTTCTTCTTCCTGATGATGAACTACATCATTCTAGTACCTCAGGAATCCCCTCTCCAAGTCTTAACAGCCAGCCACTTGCTGCCCAGTGTTATAGTTGGTCTTGACTAACAGCTTATAACCTTGAAATTATTTTCCCTTTTGGTTTTAGTAGCAAAGAGATGATAACCATCTAGTTGTGAAGAAAAACACCCAAACCAAAAGCAAGCCTAATGACACTCTAAATTGACACGTAAAACTATGTATTTATTATATGTGATGTTTTGAAGTACACACACACACACACACACACACACTGTGGGAAAGTTAAATCTAGCTAAATGTTTTATCCCACACGAAGCTTACCAATTTTCTATATAAAATTACTATGAGGTATCTCATCAAAATCCTGCACTTGGGTTTATTGTCCATTCATCTTCTAGTGGCCAGTCATAGAATCCTGGAAGGCATCTCTTCTTACCTTCCTGCAGGGCTAGAGCCACTGTCTTCGCTTTCCCATTGGTCATTTTTACTTCTTGGAACTGGGGGCTGCAGCATTTCAGCAGCTAGTGGATCAGCATCGTTTTCTTCTCTACCAATCCATTCTCCAAACACTCGGGGCCTCAGAAGAGAAGAATTGAAAGCCACTGTTTCCTGAAGAGAAGAAAAGAATGTGCTGCTTTAGATAGCTTTTTCTTGTTCACGGACAATAGGAAAATAACCCTGTCTAGAGGGTTGGCTGCTCACTCAAACCAAAATGTTCTTTTCTTTCTTCTGAATKGACATAAAACTTCAGTTCTCCCCATCTCTACTCAACTGCTTGTTCTGTGTGGTTTACGCTGATTCCTGAGGATCACTGTGATACAGGATTTAGTAATAAAATCTTGGATTTGGATTTGGAAGGCTACACATGTGTTCTCAGAGGAGGAGTAGGACCAGCATTCCTGGTGGAAGGAGGAAGGTGCTTTAGGGCCCACAAATTGAGAGCWTGGTGTCACTCCTGGGAAATGGTACATAATTTCTCTGGAAGAAATTGGGTTGGAGTCAACAAAGTCAAGAGGCAATAGGGCCAGATGGGCACATCATCTCCAATTGTGGAGCATCCTGGACTTTTAAAGATCCAGTAGRGGTTTGAAGCAGGGCAATGTCAGTGAGAGGTATGTCATACTAATTCAAAAAATGTTAATCTCTTTTCATAGATTTTAAAATGAAGTAACTCATTCAACTGAATGACTTGGACATGATTCAGCTATAAAAATTGTATTGCATGAAGATATTGAATATATGTAATTGCTAGGGATATTTTAAGTGAAAAAAGGACAAATTAAAAAGAAATACATATATATTGATCTAATTTTTGTTTAGAATTCATATGGATTGACATCCATCATTCATCCATTCTCTAAAGTCCATTGAATCTTAGTATGTGCAAAAAAAAACTGTTCTTTACTAGGCAAACATTAAGTAAAACCAAAGTTTTATAAAGGTTTTATTTGAAGGGAGGAATTGAGGGTGATCTTAAACTTTTGATATGGTATTTCCATGTCTTTTCAACATTTTATGATAAATAGAATCTGGTGATTTTGAAAATATTTTGATCTAAGAAACACATGCTTTGTTTAAATTATGTCTAATGATAAGTTTTAGTATTAGAAGAGTTTTGAACAATTCTGAAAATTTAGATCTTGTGTTCTGAGTCTTTACAATTCACAAATATACAAATTCAATACATGATACAACAAAAATAATAATATCATATATGTAATATAATGTATAGATAACAAATACAATTTCAAAAGCTGCACATAAAGAATGATTTAGATAATATTTGATAAGAATTTCTCCAAGTGAGAATAAGTAATAAAAAGTAGTTGGATACCTAAATATTGTTTCAGCCTATAAAATATAGTAGATGTACTTTAATAAGAGTGTGTAACTTAACAAGTAATTTGAACTCTCTCTGCACTTATGTTCCCTGRGTTAGGAAAACAAAGAACTCCCATAGATTTCAGATGTGAAATCATGCAATTAAATTAATGTTTTGAAATAACTGGGAAGTCATATTTATCTACCAAAATTGAATGTCATTTGAAATAAAGGAATTAAAATTGAGTATATTGGTAAAAGTTAAATCTACATTTTGCTTTTCAAAGCTGATTAGGGAAAAGACATTTTTCAGAACTTAAAAAATGAACATATTTACAGAGGCAGAATCTAGTTTGGGCTATTTGAAATGTTATTCTCTGAATTGTATTTCATCCAACTATAAAATTTGGTAATGGGAATTATTAAATCTACTATAGCAAATGAATTCATAAGTAAGAGTGAAATCATAAAAATTCTGGGTGTATGCTAAATATAATTATTTATGGACATGGATTCTATTCAGACCATTTCTATGCATATATCTGGAAGAGGTAACCAGAATTGCTGCAAAGGTTGAGTTGGGTAAGGAGAGATGTTTGGTAATCAGTATGGGCAGAGGAATAGAACAGGAAATTGATGGTGTGGTTTATCAATCTATAAAGTTTTATTTTATAGGTAATGTATCAGAAAGGTGAGATAATGAATTTGATGTTATTCATTTTATTTACATAATGGGGAAGGATTTGGTTTGAAGGTTTATCCTGCTATTGGCTCACAGTAGCCTAAGGACTGGTACAAAGAAAGTACCAGATACAACAACAGAATAAATAAACTTAGATGCCATAAAACAAAGAAGAAAGAAAGAGGCTTTAAAGTTGGGTATGACTAAAAACTTGTGAGCTGCAGAGAATCAGAAATAACTCTGCAGTTACTTGCTGGGAAATTAAATAAAATGATAGACTCCACTGTTGGTGGAAAGTAGAGTGCAGAGAGAAGGATAAATGGTTTGGTATCCAGGATATTTAACTCCTCTGGCAACAGAAATTTAGTGAGAAATAGCTGACAAGCAAGGCAATAAAAAGTCATGGAATCTTGGAGTGAGTTTTTAGCTGGTAGTTAACTGAGATATGGTGTTGCTAAATAAAAGACTAAATTAATGCCTTTGGCTTTGCAATATCATGGTTGGTGAAAGCTGTGAAATGGTAAGGAAATTATCATGGGAGGCTTGAAAAATGAAGACCAGTGTTATGTGGTGTTAAAATATTTGATAAAACTATCATCTGTGGATGATACTTGGAAGAGAGAAAGCATTCCTAATAGTCTTTCAAAATTGATAATGGAGATATGCAGGAAAAATATTATAAACATCATATAATTTGATTTCAGCTACATATATGCTTCTTCAAGAAATAAATGAGCTCATAAAGTAACTGGCCAATTTGCAAGTAAAATTTAGAGCAAGTGTTAATAGTCTGGCCAAGTTTCTCATCTCTCGCCTTTCCAGACATCTAAAGATCTTTAAACTAATACAAATCCTATGCAAATGTTAAACTCAGGGCTCTGCCAGATAAATTAGGTCTCAGGGTAAAGAAGAAATTAAGACTATGGATATGGGACCCTTTATTCAAACCTTTGAAAAAATTAAGATGGTGTTTATTAAGGTTGTTCACAACACTTAAAATGTCAACTAAGTCTGGAAACAGAGGAACTCTTGAAAAGAATTATGAATATGGTTTTGCTACAAGAATGGAAGAGAAATCAAAATATACAGGAAACCAGCAAATTATTTGAGAGAGTTGGAGTCATGGAAAACACCAGCCTGGAGTAAAATAAAGGAGACTACATTTTATATTGAAGATATAAAAAGTCCTCTGAGACTCCATTTTGCCAGACAGAAAACAAGCTGAGGAAGTTGCTCCAAGGCATCTTTTCCAGTGCTCTTTTGAGGTTAATAAAAAAGAAAAAGAAGAAAAGAAAATTCTAGAAGGGAAGCAAGCCAGGAGCTGTGAAAAAAATAAATGGGGACTCCAAGGGAATCCAGATCTGACTCCTTGGACACTATTAAGGAACAGCCCACCTTGCCTGCTTCTTGGGACAGGAAGAACCGATGGCATTTGCCCAGCAAAATTTCAGAGTTGCTCTGAATCAGGGATTCTATAAAGTTCCCATTTTTCTTCTTTTCTAATGGCAATATGTAATATGGTTATCTCATGTGGGCTCTATCACATAATGGAAAATAAGAAAACAAAACTGTCGTCATTCACATCTATTCATTATTTACAGAAAAATCAAGAGATTTTGGAGACAAGTTATAAGTTAATGTGAGGCAAGCAAGCTTACACTGGATTTAATATGAAATTTAACAAATCATTTTCATTCCTATATGCTACATAATGTAGATACCATTTATTCTAACAGCCAAAAAAAGGTTGCCTAGGAACCAGTTTAATAAAAATCTGCATAATATCCTTTTGAATGCAACCATTTGGCTTTATTATAAAACATTATGAAATTTAATTAAAATATATGAATTGAATTTTCATATATAGAATGACTGACTTAAAAATGTAAAGATGTCAGTTCTCCCATATTGATCTACACCATATTGTAATGTTGTAAAATTGCTCACTGAATCCATGGGAAGCCAGTTTTCATTAAAATTTTGGATGGCAGAGAGTGTTGGCAAGAATCAGGAGAAAAATATTATCACAAAGTGTTGGTAATATAAACATATACAAACATTTTAGGGAAGAATTCTACATTATCTAACAAAAATAAAAATGTATATGATTCACATGTCCTATTAACAAGAAAGCATACCTGAGGGAAACTATTGCTTATACAGGCAAGAAATATGTATGATAGTCTATAGCATCATTTTTTGGTAAGAGCAAATTGCAAAAAAAAATGGTTCTTGTTGTAAGACACCAACCATTTATATAAAATTTAAAATTTGGATACAAAACTAGGAAATGTATACATAGGAAACTGTGTGTGTGTGTGTGTGTGTGTGTGTGTGTGTGTGTGAGAGAGAGAGAGAGAGAGAGAGAGAGAGAGAGAGAGAATGACAAGAGAATAAAAAGCAAGAGAATAAAATTAAAATTCAGGCAGAATGATGTAGGCTATCATTGGGTTGGCTATACTACACAGGCTTTCAGCTACATGAGTTATTCTTTAACTGCCTGGTAGATATGTAGATATTCATTGTATTATGATTTACAAGAGAACATATGCTAGGTTAGCTGAAGTTCCATTAATCTGGGTGTGGATTTTCTTTCGCTTTGGATTGAGGTAAATTTTCATTCCTCAGTTAGCTTCCAGACCTCTCTTGGCCAATTGATGTTGCTTTTCATTTCAGTAAGAAAATGAAAGCAATCAGAAGAGACTTTGCTAGTCTTCATACTACCAAGCCAGCAGCACCAGCTACTAGGGATCATATCTACAGTTACTTGTGAACAGTCATTTATTTCTTCTTTTCTGAAATCTGACATACAGAAGGTTCTCAAAAAAGATTTGTTGAGTAAATGAAAGAATGACTAAAGTTGAAGTGATAAATGATTCAACAATGCATTATGAACATTATTAGTCACCCAGGAAATATAATCAAAACCACAATAAAATACCACTTCACACTCATGAGGATGGTTGGGTCATTTCAAAGACAGGCGATAATGAGGAACAGCAAAACATGGAGAAAATGGAACCCTTACACTTTATAAAATAGTGCCCCCATTAGAGAAAACAGTTTAGTAATTCTTTAAAAGTTAAATTTGGAGTTACCATTTGGT